CTTACAAACAAACAAACAAACAAACTACAAACAAACAAACAAACAAACAAACAAACAAACAGACAAAGCGAATTATATATATGGGGTGATTTTTCTCGTTTTAACGACGCTATAAAGGGAGGTCGTACTTGCTCGTTGTTGGGAGGGGGGAGGGTCGTACTATCGTGAGTTTCCTGTTTCATGTGTATTAATTGCCCCTCTCCCCCAGCCCAACAGCTCATTGAGAAGCGACAAAAAGCCAGGGGGGTCGCATTACCCCTCGCCCCCTCCCCGTCAAAGAAAAAAAACAGGGGGGGGGTCGTACGGACTCGACCAAAATCTCCAACCAATGATGTGCCCTGATTGGGATAATTTAGAGATAAGGGGACCTTGCTAGCAGAGGTGACTTCTGGAACAGGGATGAGGAAATTGCAAAATTTCTCCCGACGGTATAACGGGGAGGAGAATCCATAGAAACTCCGATTTCTGATACTTTCCTTATTGTTTTTCGGTGTTTGGTTTTTGTGGTGCTTTCCTCCTATAACTTCTTTTCAGCATTGAGCCATTACATAAATATATTCCGTTCTTTTACTGTAAGTCACACCACTGCCATAGCCATAATGAGCAGGGTGTTTCTTCTCAGCGTGGTTCGATTTGTGATCAGTTCGCGGGATAAAAAGCAGCCAGACGAGTTGTATGACGTGACAAATTGACTATGACTTGACAATGTTGAAATCGGTCGGCGGTCGGAGTTACATTGCTCACCGCGGAACCGGTTCTTCTGCTCAACATTAAGATGCCAACCAACTTAGGTGGGGGGGGGGAAGTCTTTAGCACAATGAAGTGATGAAAGTTCCATTATCAGCGACCACATAGTGAGAAGCAGCTGGGACTTAGCTTTGGAGAGATTTGCTGAATGATTAAGGCAAGTAGCTATCATCATCATGTTCTCAGGGAGCACTAGAGTGCGAGGTTGAGCGGCGAAGGAGCTTTTGTATCGTGTAGGGGTTTTGCCGTCCCAAAAAGGTGGAAGGCCTGTATGGCGTGAGCTGGAGTTGATTAGCATTTTTGACTAGCATCTGGCACCTAGACCGAGAATATCGTAAGTGACACTACTCGTGCTTACGCTCTGCTATACCAAACAGAACACTTCGTACGTTGGAATTCCCAACGATAAGAATCTTACATGGTCGTGAAGATAGAAAAGTCGTATTTGCTTCCGAGAAAAATGTCTTTTATTGTTGACTTTTCTCAGTTCATTTTTGCTATTTCAATGACCCACTTTCCCCTTTAGAATGACCCAGCACCCTCCCCACCCAGCTCGACCGCTCAAGGGCAGTTCTTTGAGGAAAAAGGAAAAATTGAGGAAATTTTCTGAAAAGAAGTTCAGGAAAAAAGGTAGAGTGGGAGAGAAAGGGGACGTACTATAGGAAGGAATTTTGAGAGGAGGGGAGTCCTAAAAGGCGGAAATTTTCTCTGACGGCAGGACGTGCCCTGCTACCAATTTATTAATAAGATTTTCTTTCTGAGACAAATGCTGCTCTTGCCATCGTGTTTAAAATAAAATAGTTGAAAAAGCCCGTGCAAGTTGTGAGTGGGCCACTTGCCTCTTCACTACCTCCGCCTCGTATTTGAAATCTTCTTCTTCTCCCTAGCGTTAGTCCCGCGCCGTCGCAGGGTCCGCTGTTCTTGTTAGACGTCGCCACTTGTTCCGATCCACTGCATCTTCTGCTGCGCTTTCACTTCAGTGAGGTCCTTCTTGATGACGTCCCTCCATCTTCTCTTTGAAGCTCCTCACGATCACTTGCCCTCTACTTCGAATTCCAACGCCTTCCTTATTGGGTGGTCCTCAGGCCTTCCTCAGTACGTGCCCATACCATCGCAGTCGCTGCTCTCGTGCCTTCAGCTGGATCGGAGCCGTCTGTGTGATGCCCTGACGTCCTCGTTTCTGACTCTGTCGAGTCGTGTCCAGCCGCAGGCCCATCTCAGCATCCTCATTTCAGCTGAGTGGAGCTGCCTTTC